TTTTTTTTTTTTTTTTTTTTTTTTTTTTTGCAGCATGCATGCACAACGAGGGATTGAACCCGAGCTCCTGCATAGGGAGTGCAGAGTCTTACCCACTGGACCACCAGGGAAGTTCCTGAATAGCTTCAAGATTTGTTTGTGAGATTTGTTTTTTAAGACTGTGTTTTTTATCTCACAGGCTCCAGAAACAGGTTGACAAGAACTTTCTTAAAGCAGAAAAGCAAAGGTTGCGAGCTGAGAAGAAACAGCGTAAAGCAGAGGTCAAGGAACTTAAAAAGCAGCTTAAACTCCACAGGAAGATTCATCTGTGGAATTCGATCCATGGGCTCCAGAGCCCCAAGTCTCCTTTGGGCCGACCCGAGAGCCTGCTGCAGTCTAACACCCCAATGTAAGCCCAGGGCCAGGGCAGGAGCCAGGACTTTAGGTCCAGCCCTCTAAAACTGGACCTTAAGCCAACTTCTGTCTTATTTATTGGTAACCCATAACACCCAAACCCTTAAAACTTCCCATTTTCCGATCCTAGTGTTCTTAAAGGATGGTTTGGTAGTTATCTTTGACACTTGCTTTGTTGCCTTCTTCAGAAAAACAGAAACCAGTAAGGTTCAGAAACTGGCCGGTGTGACCTCTCTTCACTGGAGGCAGTCTGGATTTGAAGCAAAAGAAGCAAATATTTTAAGAGCCCAACTCTTTAGTTAATTTATGGACCCTTTTAGTTATCCTCACCATAGTTTTTTAGCTTAGGAGTCAGGTCCCCTTGGGTTTCTTTTTGTTTTTTGAGGTTGTTTTTTGGGGTTGTTTTTGGCATGCGGGATCTTAGTTCCCCAACCAGGGATTGAACCCGCGCCCCCTGCAGTGCAAGCATGGAGTCCTAACCACTGGACTGCCAGGGGATTCCCATTGTTAGTATTATTTTTAAGGCAAATGCATTGGTGCATCCTCCAGGGTCACTGTCTGTGTCTCAAACCACAGTATTGGGTATTCAGAAGACATCACACCCAGCAGCAAGTGACTAAATATTTGAATTTCTGTTCAGGCTCCCTTTGCAGCCCTGTGCCTCAGTTATGCCAACCCTCAGTGCAGCATTTGTGGATGAGAATTTGCCTGATGGGACTCACCTCCAGCCAGGAACCAAGTTTATCAAACACTGGAGGATGAAAAATACAGGAAATGTAAAGTGGAGTACAGACACAAAGGTATTTTTCCCTACAAAACGTGAAGATGAAGTGATTTGAGGTGGCAGTGTGTTTAACTGACAGGCTTTCTTTCTCTTGTCACTATTCTTTTCAGCTCAAGTTCATGTGGGGAAATCTGACTTTGGCTTCTACAGAAAAGAAGGATGTTTTGGTTCCCTGCCTAAAGGCCGGCCATGTGGGAGTTGTGTCTGTGGAGTTCATTGCCCCAACCCTGGAGGGAACATACACTTCCCACTGGCGTCTTTCTCACAAAGGCCAGCAGTTTGGGCCTCGGGTCTGGTGCAGTATCATAGTGGATCCTTTCCCCTACACAGAGAGCTCTGATAACATTGAAAAGAGCATGATCAGCTCAAGCAAAGGTGATGATCTCACCTGCCAGCAAGAGGTGAGCATTGGAAGGGTGACTAACACCAAAAGAGCCCACTCACAGCTGGTGGTTCTTCAGAAGTCTGGAGAAGCCAGCTTCTCCCCTCCTTAGAACACATCGTGTGCTTATATTGGGCCTAGTCCTCAGGGGCTCTGTTTGCATGTCCTTCGCATCTTGGTGCAGGCGTCCCTCAGTGCTTTCGTATCTCTCTGTAGTGATGTGTGGCCAGCCTCTGTGCTGCACGAGGGAAAGCAGAGCTGCCTGGCCTGTGGGCCTGCTGAGCTGATGCCTTTGCTACTTAACAGTCATCTCTCCTGTATATCCCTTGTGTATGTTTCCTAAATACTAATGAAGTCTTACCCTGGTTGTTACTTGGTGCACAGTTTTTTCAGGCAGCTTCCCTGTTTACTACTTAAATTTAGTTACCCAGTGTTAATGTCCTGGTTTTGACTGTTGTTTTTATGGTTAATCTAAGCTATTGTCATTAGGGGAAGCTAGGTGAAGGGGGTAATTAGTAAACTCTCTATACTGTTCTTGTAACTTTTCTATAAGTCTAAAATTATAACGAAACAAAGTTTTAATACATGCAGTGCTTTTGTTTTTAGGGAGGCAGCCGTCAGCTTGCCTTTTGAGTTCTGTTGAGGGCCTAAAATGTGTCCCTATGGTTTATCTCCATAGGAAGCTCTTCTTCCGGCTAAAGAAGAAATTCCACCTGGTGAAACAACTGAGCAGGCAGAAGGGACAGGAACCTGCATCCCACAGAAGGCCAAAAATGCTGCCAGCGAGAGGGAGCTCTACATCCCATCTGTGGACCTTCTGACTGCCCAGGTGGAAGACTGAGCCCTTTGAGGGGCGAGAGACAGAAAGCCCTGGGGAAAGACTTCTGAACTTGTTGAAGAAAAGGCGGTAGAGCCATAGGTGGTGCTCAGGAAGTTAGAGATATGCCCACTCTGATCTAGTCAGATGCACTGAATGGCAAAATCATCACCAGTGGGAGCAGGCTTCTAAACTAAATGTTTCGTCTTTGAATTGGGAACTTATCTTGTGCTTCCCACAACTTCCCTCTAGTTGCCTCTTCTTTTCTGCCTAACTGGTTCGCCTTCACCCCCACTGCATTTGCTCTCTTTCCTGCCATTTGGTTATTTGAATGCCTACTTCCCATTTAACTCTTCTTGTTTTCACTTGACTGATGTGAGGCATGAATTTGAACAGAGTTGAATCTGGGATGATACAGAACTCAATGGCCTGCAGGACCCATCAAGACAAAACATGGCTCTAGCATGTGCTGCGAGTAGTCTAACCTTGTGCCTTTTTTTTTCAGGACCTGCTGTCCTTTGAGCTGTTGGATATAAATATTGTCCAAGAGTTGGAGAGAGTGCCCCACAACACCCCTGTGGGTAAGAATGTCACTCGGTCCACCTTGCTTATTTTATTAACAGGCCCCAAAATACTGCAGCCCTGACTCTGGTAGTTAGTATTTTATTCTGAGGAAATAGTTGGCAAGGATTTCTCCCACAATGTGATATTAAAACTGCACCCATTGGTTCATTTTCCTTCCTCTCCCTGTTGTCAGAGGCAACAATACCAGTTTGTGCGAAGCTTCCCCACCATAAAGGGACCCTCTTCTCCATTTTTCTCTGGATATTTGTGTCCCTTTGTTCTTTTGCATTCGTGGCTCTGTGTCTTGGCCATGGTCTCCCAAAGCCAAACAACCGTTTATGATCCTTCCTGCATTGATGGATCTGTCTGAGATACTTGTGTGCCTAATGGTCTGGAGAAATTCTTTAGAACACCTTGAAGTGTACCTGGGTTTATTTTAGCCATGCAGGAGGCAAGAAGCCTATGAGCTGCTGCTTCTGGACACTGACTGTTGATGATGTGAAGCTTTTTCGTGGCTGATGGTTCTCCTGTCTTCATTCTCCAGATATGACTCCCTGCATGTCTCCTCTGCCACATGACAGTCCTTTAATAGAGAAGCCAGGCTTGGGGCAGATACAGGAAGAGAGTGAAGGGGCGGGATTTAAAGAACTTCCTGGTAAGGGGTTAAATATTTGTAAAGTATTTGCATCCTCCCCTTCCATACCACACCCTGTTGTTACACATACCCCCTACTAATCTCACCTTGCTGTGTGAGTGGGTTTTCTGTAGGATCTCATTTTTTGAAGTCTCCTCACCTTCACATGGCACCAATAGCAGCTATTCCGTGGCATCGCATCAGCATGGGTACATGACTAGAGAAAGATCTTCAACACTTTAAACACTAATTGCAGACGAAGTTCATGTCTTTTTCAGATTCCACAGTGTCAGTAAAGAAGAGGGCTGAGAACATTTCTTCAGTGGAGGAAGCAGAAGATGACCTGAGTGGGACCCAGTTTGTGTGTGAGACTGTAATCCGATCCCTTACCTTGGATGCTGCCCCGGATCACAAACCACCTTGCAGACAGAAGTCCACGCACAGTGAGTGTCCCTGAATTCCCCACCCACCCACCCCCCAAAATTGATGTGGCGCCTGGCTTGTGATTGCCAGACCTGAGCAGATAGAAGTGCTCTTCTTTACTGACAGTAGTGGAGATAGCGGGATCTTTGTTAGAATTCGGATCATGGTGGTTTCTTTGGGCTCTACATATGCTACCTGACCATTTTATTTATAGCATCAGGAGCAAAGCAGCTACCATAACTCATTTCTGTACTTCTTCAGGGGCAGAATTTCAGTTGCACACCACAGAGGAGCAGCAGCTGGTTGTGCTGCCTGGGTTCTGCAGCAAGGAGTCTTCTTGTAAGTTGACAGAGCCCCTCAGCAGAGACCCCCACTGGCAGCTGAGTTGTCTCCTTTCTCCAAGGGCAGCAGTCAGGAATAGTGGGCAGAAACAGGAGCACCAGACTAAGTTTCTCAAGGTTAAATTCTGCTGTAATAAATTTCTTTGTGGCAGAAATTTTTAGATGTCAGAGAGGTAGAACCACTGTCATGTATTTCAAGTACTATCCAAAAACTCAAATTCTACTCCATCAAAATAATGTGAAAAAATGTCTTGTGTTTATTATAGTGAAATTTGACCTATACCTTTAAGCATGATTTATCTCACTTTTTCATTTATGTATCTATATTTAAACTGTATATATTTTAAAATATATGTATTTCCTCACACATACTTGTGTACAAATGCATAACAAAAAAGTCTGGAAGGACTTACGCCAAAACGTTCACAGTAGTTATCTCTGTTAAGGTTATAGGTACTTTTTTACTTCCTTTTTTTTTTGTCATCCATGTTTGCCAGTTTTCTATCATGACTACTCATTACTTCGCAAAGAAGAGAAGGAAAGTAGTCATACAGTCCTGAAGTATTTACCACCAAACATTTTCTCTTCTTATAGCACTGTTAGCTAGTATGTCAGTTTTGATTTGAACCCGTCTCAGTATGTTAACCATCACGTGAAGAGGAAAAGGGATGAGGCCTCCTTGTTTTAAGATTCATAGTGTTCTCAGAAGCCTCGATGTTTCTGCCAATGTTGTTTTTGTGAACTTTGGTTCTATGTGGCTTTGCGTAGGCTTAGAATATGGCCATGACTATGGCTTCAGCAGCC